CCGGCAGCCCTGCTTCCGCCAGCCCACCAATCTCTCGCGGACAATTCCGATGCCCCCAGCCCTGCTTCCACCAGCCCACCAATCTCTCGCGGACAATTCCGATGCCCCAGGCAAGCCCTGCTTCCAGCGGCCGCTTCTCCCGTACTCCTCCCAATCTTCCCCGGCCAGCCCCCCGAATCTTCCCCGGCCAGCCCCCTGCCCAGCTCTGCTTCCGCCAGCTGCCCCTCCCCCAATCTCCCTGGCTTGCCTGGATCTCCCCCATCCAGTGCTGCTTCTGATAGCCGGCTCTCCCCTCCTCCTTCTCCCCTCCCCTAGCTAAGCATCTGCCAGGAGCCGGAAGATCCAGCTGCAGACTCCTCCCAGGCCGGCCAAGGGCTTGGGAGCCCAGGCACTCCGGGAGCCCGGAACACCCCAGCAACCACACTGAGGCCCGGTACTTTTTTTCTGCGGCCCGGTATCGAGCCGCGGCCTATAGTTTGGGAAACGCTGGGTTAGCTAATTAAACAGGATTGTAATGCCTATAAGTTACTGTCAGATTCTTAAATTAACATGTGTTATGTAGCCTTTGGGTGAGGGGGGTGAATTAGTTTGTAGCTGGTAGACATATCTATGGGAAAAACGAAAGTCTTGAAATAGTCCTTATTCTGCAAGGTACAGCTCAGTAGCGCACTGAAAGTGAATCATGTTAACTGCATTTCATCACCTACCATGATGTGTAGTTGCACAAAACAGCAGAATTCCTTATCCAGACAGAAATTGGGGTGGTACAGTATGTGATGGACAACTGGGTGTTTTTTTAATTATTATTTTTTTCTTCTCAGAGTCAGAAATCATCATGAGTCAGTTTAACTTTGGATCTAGTTCTGCTGGGGGAGGGTTCAGCTTTGGTACGCCAAAGACAGCAACTACCACAGCACCAGCAGGATATTCCTTTTCCACACCTGGGGCTGGAACTGGATTCAGTTTTGGGACACCAACTCAGACTCCAGCAAGTACCCAGTCTACGGGTCTGTTCTCTTTGACGACCCCTGCTACTTCTGCGCAGGCTTCTGGATTCACTTTTGGATCACCGGCCACATCAACTGCAGCCCCAGCAGGAAACGTATTCTCTTTAGGGTAAGAGCTAACTGGAAGAAACATCTGTTCTTGTTCTCATGAGTTGCTATCATTGAGGATTTTGGGGTTTTTTTTGTAAATTTTTAAAAAATGTATTGGGAGTGATAGTGGAGAGAATCCAAATAGAAAGCCAAGGATTGAGTCTTGTGGGGAATTCAAAAGAAGAAAGATAGGTGCTTGACACACAGAAGGAGAGCAGTTGTTCCAGATATTCCAAATGATGCAGAAAGTGTAGTCTTTTACTAAGAGAAGGTAATTAAGGAATTCTCAAGGTAAGTGGTGTTAAGGCATGACAGGGGTTTTTATACAGCGTGTTAGAATTGAGCTACAATCTCTTTGACATTAAATCTAATGCTCTTCAAAGAATTCTGGTAAAAGGTCACCTTCCTGAAACTCTGCTATTAAAAAACCCCCTATCCTTCAGCATTCTGCTGGACTATGTCCTGAACAGGTTAGTTTATTTTGCTTGTTTTGTTTTTTTTGTCCTGTCTAGGGGAAATGTACCAAAGTTAAACTTGGGCAGCAGTGGCACCACTCAGACTACAGGAATCACAGGGGGGTTTGGACTTGCTAACAGTACTGCCCTTACCAGCTCTATACCTAGCAGCGTGTCATCAAGTCAAATAGCACCTTCTGGTTTTGCCTTTGGCCCCACTGCCGCCGCTACCGCCGCAAACACCACCCCCCAAGCTGGAGCAACTGGGGGGTTCAGTTTTGCCAGCAGCGGAACAGCTCAGACTGGAACCCCAAACTTTAGTATCAGCTCTGTGGGAAATACAACTCAGCAAATAGCACCTACAGGGTTAAGTTTTGGAGCAACCCCAGCTGCTGCCACCATTGCTGCAACTACTGCACAACCCCCCCCTGCCTTCAGTCTTGGGGGACAGTCCACAGGTAAGTGTCAGATCTTGAATTGGGAGTTCAACTGTTAACAGTGCTACTCCATATTAAAGTTCCTCTAGTCAGCTGACTTCTGAAGCTCTGTAAATAGAATGGTATTTGCCCATTGAAAGTTCTAATAATGCAAGTGAATTGATGGCTCTTTTGAGAAATGGATACTGAAATCTGCTGTTTCAGTCTGGTGTGAAATAGAACCAGTGCTAGAGGACACAGTTTTCTAATATGTACATTCCTGAAGTCACCAGTTACTTGTAACATTTTTTCATATACAGTGAAGAAGGTCTCAATAATGTCACGGAATTATAGAGTATATTTTGCATCCTAAATGTCCATAGTTGACTTTTATCTCTTTTTTTTTTTTTATGGCAGTCAGACATGAAATTTAGAAAATGCACACAAGTAGAATTTTAGCAGCAGTGTTCACTGTTGCAGATTGCTCTAATGGGAAATAATAGTGTGTGAGCATGCCTTGAGTCAATAAATCAGTTTGTGGCTTAGTTAGTCCAGCTTGGTTCATGAGCAGCTGCTTTTATCTCTTTTTTTTATGGCAGTCAGACATGAAATTTAGAAAATGCACACAAGTAGAATTTTAGCAGCAGTGTTCACTGTTGCAGATTGCTCTAATGGGAAATAATAGTGTGTGAGCATGCCTTGAGTCAATAAATCAGTTTGTGGCTTAGTTAGTCCAGCTTGGTTCATGAGCAGCTGTCTCTTTTGTAGATTACTTCTCAGAGGAAATTTATTTTTCATAGCGCTGGATTATAACACTGTAATGCTGTGATGAGTGGTCTGCAGGCTTATCTCATGAAATCTTGTGCTACTGATTTGTTCATATCTTCTGAGTGAGTATCTAGACCAGGGGTGTCCAAACTTTTTTCAAAGGGGGCCAGATTTGATGAAGTGAACATGCGTGAGGGCCGACCATTTTGCCTGACATTCTTTGAACCATTAAAATTAAATGCAAATTAACTATTTTATGCAAAGTTTATTGCAAACGGCAAACGACATAACACCAACTATACATGTTGTGTCCAAATATATTTATAACTGATTTAGACATTAACTGAGATTTTACAATGTATTCATCTCAATGGAAAGAAAAACTTGCCTACACTAATGTGAAGGGTGAAACTGAGATCTGGACTGCAGTACATAGGCTAGGTCTGGTTCAAAGGCAGTCCCTGATCTCAGCACCTGCGGAGTCCGTCCCTGTAGACCAACTGACATTAACTGAGATTTTACAATGTATTCATCTCAATACTTATGGATTCGTTGGGGGCCATGAAAGATAGATATTGCCAAATTACCTGTGGGGCCATATTAAACCGGAACACGGGCCGCAATTGGCCCGCGGGCCGGACTTTGGACATGCCTGATCTAGACACACACATGATGGGATAAAATAAGAGTTCAGAAAGAAACAAAACTGCAGAGATGACAGTGGGATGATTTGATCTTTATATTGCAGGACCTGGAATATCTTTGCGATCAGTTCCACAAACTATGTGAAAAAGGGCTGGTACCAAAGTACTGGGACCATCATAGATAAACATCTTTTGTTAGAACTGTTTTCCTTAAGTGTTGGGGCTTGGCATCAAAGGACTGAAATAATTTGTTGTAAATTGGTTGCATTTGTAAAAGCAGTTCTCTTCAGAAATAAGAAGAGACCTTGTGAGTAAAAAGACCTTGCATTAGTCAATTACTGATACTTCCTAAGCCAGGGCTACTCAACCTGCGGGTTGCGTGCGGCCCAGTTGTTTGCGGCCCACGGTGCGGTTTGGGTTTACGTGGAGCTCAACATGTGGCCTGCAAGTGGGATCCTTTGAACATGGCCTCCAATGGGAATGCACTCCACAACGCCGAAGCATCTCCCAGGTGGGGTGGGGTGAGCATTGACAGATGCAAGCGGACGGGCTGGCTGGAACAGATGGGTACAGAGTGTTGGCATTTCTAGCCCCCAGGGAGGAGGTGCTGGGAGAGCCAGGGCATTGTGGGAAGGGCTGGCTGCTTAGCCTTGTGACAGAACCTGAGAGGTGCTGACTGGCTCACATTGGCCACATTTGGGTCTAGTGCCACAGCTTAAGGCTTAATCTTTGTATTCATGCCTGTCCATGTGAAAGAAGCTATTTGCATATATATTTGCATGTATATGCAACCACACTTAAGTTGCAGCCCTCGGCATGTGCTGTGAGTATCATAGTGGCCATAGTTGAGTAGCCCTGTCCTAGGCCATTTAAGAATAGCTCCAGTACCTTGGACAGGGACAAAGTAGACAGCAAACAGTCAAGTTTGATATGTGAGCACAAAGTTACAGTAATAGTCTTTTGTCCATTAAAAAGTATGATTGGGATGTAGGGGGGAAGGGAGAGTCCAGAGCCTAGGTGGGTGATGTTTGGTTACAGTTAGTGTGAATTAGAACAAATCTTAAAAGTTGTTGTAGGCAAAATTATTTAGATCTAGTGAATCCCTTTGACAGTGCTGATTCTAAATCTGTCAGAGAAACATCAATATAAACTGATAATAGATACTTTCTGCTCTACTAATTATGATATTGTTTTTCACCCTTGACTATTGCTGGTATTTTGGGTCTCAGCTTAAGAACTGTTTGCTCTTGATTCATTCTTGTATTTCTTAATCTAGGTTTAAGTTTTGGAATGCTGGCCTCGACAGCACCCACTTCTGCACCCACAGGAACATTGACAGCTACTACCATCCAAGGACCTAGTTTATCATTTGGAACCAAACTTGGAGGTAGGTGGTGATTGGGTCACTGTGCCTGAAAGTTGGGTCAGAGTAAAGGGGGGCTGACTACCCTGACTGAAGTGATTCTGTTTATTGGGGTGTGGAGAGCAGATCAAAATAGGAGTGGATGCATGTACTATGTCTTACAGTGATTTGCTCTTTGGTCAGAGTCCTGAAAGCACTGTAAGTTCTCTAAGTGCATTCTTATTTGTACAGCTCAATTTCACTTTGTGTAGAGTTTTACATATGAAAACTGCATCTGACAATTCTTCATAAAGTATAACACAAAGAGACGCTTATGGGTGATTGTGAGGGTAAAGATGTTTTCAGGTTAAACCTGTAAATATATTAAGTACTGATGAAGCATAATGCTGGAAAATTGTTTTAAAAAGAAACAGAAGCTGCAGAGGAGAAAATGATTACATCAGTAAAAAGCAGATTAGTGTAGATGAATGGAAAAAAGTGTGTCAAACAAAGTCCCCATTCTCTGCTTTGTTCACTCTGAACATGTGTGTTGAAGCATCAGAGAAGGATGGGTTTGGATTTTTTTTTCTGATTTTAGGCTTGACTGCAACATCCACAGCCGCTACCACCACACCTTCCCTTCTTGGTTCGTCTGGGCCTACATTGTTTGCATCAATAGCAGGTTCTTCAGCACCAACTTCCACTGTTGCCGCAGGCCTCTCACGTAAGTCACAGAGTATTTATCAAACAGTTCTTCTTGCAATCCTGATATTAACGAGTAGTAGTCCAAGGATAGGTTGGCAGGCTCTGCCTGCGATGGTGGTGTTTTTTCCTGAAGTGGAAGAATCATAATAAGATACAACTACAGCTATTTTAGTCTTTGATAGTATCAGCTTGTCTCTATCTGCTTCCGGGCATAAATCTTATCAGTGCTGCACCTGTTTATTGCACAGAAAATTTTGTCTAGAAAATAATACATGTGAGATGAGTGGCAATTTTTTGTGTCCGCTATCCTGCTATTGTTGTCATGGCTGAACATACCAGTGACTCTGCTGACAGCTGTTGAATGCAGGCCTGATCTACAGTACAAAGCTACAGCTTTACAAAAGGCAGCTTACATTGACCTAATGCTGTAAATATCTACACTATAGTGTTGCTACTGCTGATATAAGTTGCACACTGCACCAACTTAATAATTCCACCTCCATAAGAGGCATGGGTAGGTTGATGCAGGGTCAGTATAAACAGTGTGTTGACCAAAGGGCCTTATGGACCAGATCCGGCCTGCCAAGTGCGTTGATCTGCCACAGATACATTGCTGCTGCCCCACCCCAGACCAGTCAGGGCCTGGGGACGGGGGAGTGCGTGAAGTCTCCTCCCCTACTGGGGGCATGTGGAAAGTGCTGCCTGCCCCTTGCAGGGTGGGGATAGGGAGTGAGAGATTTCCTGTGCTCCCCCTGGCCCTGATTGACTTGGGAGTGGGCGGAGCACGTGAAGTCTCCTGCTGCCAGGAGCATAAGCACCTAGAGGGGACCACTAGCTGTTCAGAACAGCTGGCAGTTCTCTCTGGAGGAGGCGGGGTCAAAGTCTTCACCGCTCCCCCCATCCCCAGGCCAGTCAGTATAAAAAATTTAGGAAGTGGCTCTCCGTCTACAATTATTGCTCAGTGAGGAGGGAGAAACAATAACAGGAAACTTGGAAATGGCAGAGGTGCTTAATGACTCTTTTTTTGGTCTTCACCATGAAGTCTGATGATGAAGGAATGCCTAACATACTGAATGCTAGTGGGAAGGGGGTAGGTTTAGAAGATAAAATTAAAAAAGAACAAGTTAAAAATCACATAGAAAAGTTAGGTGTCCGCAAATCACTGGGACCTCATGAAATGCATCCTAGAATACTCAAGGAGATGATAGAGGAGGTATCTGAGCCGTTAGCTATCATCTTTGAAAAATCATGGGAGACAGGAGAGATTCCAGAAAACTGAAAAAGGGCAAATATCGTGCCCATCTATAAAAAGGGAAATAAGAACAACCTAGGAAACTACAGACCAGTCAGTTTAACTTCTGTGTCAGGAAAGATAATGGAGCAAGTAATTAAGGAATTCATCTGCAAATATCTGGAAGAAAATAAGGTGATAGGTAACAACCAGCATGGATTTGTAAAGAACAAATCATGTGAAACCAATCTGAGAGCTTTATTTGATAGGATAACAAGGCTTGTGGATAAGGGAGAAGAGGTGGATGTGGTATACCTAGACTTTAGTAAGGCATGTGATGTGATCTCTCATGATCTTCTGATCAGTAAACTAGGCAAATACAACTTAGATGGGGCTACTACTATAAAGGTGGGTGCGTAACTGGCTAGATAACTGTTTTCAGAGAGTAGTTAATGGTTCACAATCATGGTGGAAGGCCATAACAAGTGGGGTTGCGCAGGGGTCTGTTTTGGGACCGGTTCTGTCCAATATCTCCATCGATGATTTAAATATTGGCACAGAGAGGACACTTATTAAGTTTGCGGGTACCACCAAGTTGCGAGGGGTTGCAACTGCTTAGGGAGGATAGGGTCATAAGCTTTCCAGACTCCATCGATGATTTAAATATTGGCACAGAGAGGACACTTATTAAGTTTGCGGGTACCACCAAGTTGCGAGGGGTTGCAACTGCTTAGGGAGGATAGGGTCATAAGCTTTCCAGACTGCTCATGATCTCTGCCCCCCCCCTTGCAAAGAGCCTCAAAAGGTGGTCTTTTGGCTTGACCATGGCAATTAGATGTCTTACCTTTTAGATAAAGTATACCTTGGTTGTACTGTTTTGTGGAGCTTTTTGTTCATATATAACACTTGCTATACCCTGTGAACCAGAGTTGTTTTTGTTTGAATTAGGGATGTAAGCAAGTAGTTGACTACCCGATAAGCCTGGGCTTATTCGGTAGTGGAGTCTATCCCCCCCCCCCCCCCCCGCCCCGTGCCTCTGTATCAGAAGCCGGTTCTTAAAAGCTGGTTCTTCCCAGCACCATCTCTCCAGTGCCGCCTCCCCCCACCACTCACTGCTGCCTCTATTTTAGAGGCAGCAGCATGGAGTAGGGAGGGAGGATGGGGGAGGCCTCTGTGAAGCAGTCCCTGGCCGCGGTGGCCGCTCCGGCAGCAGCCCCTAGCTGTGGGGGTCCCAGCGAGGAGCTGTCCGCGGACAGGGGCTGCTAGACCCACCTTGCAAAAGCCAGGACTGAGCCTGGCTCGCACCAGCTCCAGGACCTACCCTTGCTACATTTAAACTGCAGAGGCGCAGCAGGGGTGGGTAGCTCCTGGACCCTGTGCTAGCTGGGACTGAGCAAGCCTTCCCTTATTGACTAATCGTGTAGTCGATAAAATTAGTGAATTACCCACATCTTAACATTCTTAGTTTGAATATTGTCCAGCAATTTCAGATGTTAAGACCCAAAAGCAGAAAGTTGAGTCCATCAGTAAATATGCATACTACATAATTTCAGGATCACCTCCCTTCTCTGTATAAGAGCAAACATGCAAAACTGGGCCATCCGAAGTGAGAAGTAGCTGCTCACGTGCATTAGAAGAAACCAGACAGTATTTTGAGATCTTTACCCTCTGTGTTCACAGGAGCACAGCCTAGCCAGATCCCATCAGCCAAATTACATTACATGTTGCAAAATCTCAATGGGTGTGGAGTCAGTCATGCACCTCATGGGGACCAAACATGTCCTTGGTGTAACTCCATCAAAGTTAATGTAGTTCTACCAGAAGTGAATTTAGCTTAATGACTTAATTCTGCTTACATTTTGGCAGCCCTTCTAAGAAATGTATCCCCGTGAGGCTTAATACATTTGGCAAAAGTTGTGTTTTGTTTGTGTTGCCATATCCAGGATGATATATTTGACAACAGTGGGTTATTTCCATAATGAGTTACTGGCAATCCTCACTCTCATTTAGCCTCTGTCCTATTACAAACTGCTAAAACAGGCATCAGGATGCTTTGCCAGTGGGGCACACAGGAAGCCATGTCATTGTCTTCTTTTTACAGTTGGTGGCACCTCAGCTGCAACAACCAGTCTGGGTACTCTTGGATTTGGATTAAAAGTCCCTGGAACGACAACTGCTGCAACCATCACAACCACCAGTAAGGACTAGAGGATGAAAGGGATGGAGCTGCCAGGCTGATTAAAACTAATGTGTACTCCATGGTTCTCAGTTTCTTTCTACCTGGGATCTGAAAACAATCCACTGTTTCCTGTTGGGATCCATCTGCTTCCACAGTTCCATGTAGCCATTGTGGATTTGTATTCACAGCTAGAAACCACAAAGGGTCTTATCTGGGGAGTGTCCGAGTTTGGCAGTCTGTTTTACAGGATTGGCGTGGGACTGCTGCTACTGGCACAGCATCTCTCTCTCCAGCCACCAGCCTTCCTGCCCAGCAGGCATAGGTAGCATCACTTCAAGAGGCTGTGGAACTAGCTGCATGTCCTGTTGGAATGTTGCTTCACAGCTGAACGTTGCATAGGGGATAGAAGGGAGAGAGAAATACGGAGGGTTGAGGAGCTGTAATAGGATTAGTTGGGGTAACAAGGATGGAGTGCTGAGTTAATAGGAAGGCAGCATTTAGCTCCTCCCTGCCCTGGATCTTAGGGAATGCAGAATTTTGAAGCCTTTTCTCTACTTCCATCAACCAGTGAGGTGTTTGCACTTCTTATTGACATCCGACTAGACTTAGTAATAGCATAGTACCTGTTAGCTCTGCCAGTGACTTCCTTTGTAAACTTTGGCTGTCTGTGCCATAGCTTGGTTTTTTGTTTTTGTGTGTGAAATAATATTGCCCAACAAATATTGGGGCTTGCTTCCTTAAGAGCTATAAAGTGCTTTGAGATCCTGAGGCAGAAGGGGCTATATAACTCAAGTGTTTATTAATGGATATTAATCAGAATTATAAAAACATGTTTTAGTTCACCAGCTCTGCTCATGGGAAATCCAGTTCCAAAAGAAGAGTGGTGATTCAGATTACAAGTTTCATGTGTTGTAGAGCTATTCAGCAGTATAGTAGTTGGGGTACTGCAGATCTGGGAAGAAAGATGTGTGCACAAAACTTGCATTGTGTCTTTTTCTCAATATTACCTGACTCACATTTAATAGAGCCATGTGGGTTGGAAGAGAACTTGGAGATCTTCAGTCCATCCCTGTCCATTGTAGCAAAATTGATTTATTTATAATCAATATTCTCTCTGTATATCTAAATAATTTGAAAACTAAGAGAAATAAACCACCATTTCTTGCTTATACAGGCTAGAGCTTTCTAAAGATTTCTTAACATCTTAAAGTGGATAAGTAATATTATTCACATCTTACAAATGGGTAAGTGTGAAGAAAGTGGATAAGTATTATTATTCACATCTTACAAATGGGTAAGTGTGAAGTGATTAAGGTCACACAATCAAGGTAATTTGTGAATAGAACTCATGTCTCCTAATTTCCAATCTTGAGTCCAAATTGCTAGATCACAACTGACCTTCTCCTCCTCTCTACTCATTCCTCCCTTTTTATGACATTACATCTTTCCTTCCAGGCACTTCTTCTGCTCCTAGCACAGGCTTTGCCTTGAATCTTAAACCACTGACCACTACTGGTACCCTTGGTGCTGTGACTTCTACTGCTACCATAGCAACTACAACAACCAGGTGCGTCCTTTCAGCCAATTGAGTTACTGCCTAGTGTCTTAGTTCTGTGGTGGGTACTGAGGGTGAGTGTTCCCAAGACAGGCAGTATATTGGGTATTGAGTGGAAGAACCAGAGGAGATTCGTCCAAGAAAGGAGACGATGCTGGGATTGGAGTGCAGTAGTATCCTGGCCCAATTCTGTTGGGTGTGTTTGTAGTTCAGTGGCTGTGCCTTTAATGTTACCTGTGGTGTCAGCTTTATAGCTTTTCATTTTAGAATTTGTATTCATTCAAATAATGCTCAATGCTCTCTTCAACTCCCCCAATCCCAGCGCTCCCCCAGTGATGACTTACGCCCAGCTGGAGAGTCTAATTAATAAATGGAGCCTAGAACTGGAGGATCAGGAAAAGCATTTTCTTCACCAGGCTACACAGGTCAATGCCTGGGATCGGACACTGATAGAGAATGGAGAAAAGGTAAGCTGGCATGCTTTTCTGATAGGGTGAGACTTTTACGGGTATTTTGGTGCCCAAAGATGCAAATAGGCACCCAGTGGGCTTTTCAAAAGTATCTAGATACTGAACTCACATTGGTGTTTTTGGGGGGATGTGAAGAACATGTCTTTTCTCAATTTCTCCCCTATCTCTCTACCCCTATACCATTATTGATAATCCCTGAATTCTGTTGCTATAGTCTGTTAAATTCTGTGTGTTCCTGTCTGATTTTTAGATTACTTCATTACACAGAGAGGTGGAGAAAGTGAAGCTGGATCAGAAGAGGTAAGAGAGAAACTGAGTGCTTTAGTTTTCCTGTTTCAGAGGGGTAGGTAGCCATGTTAGTCTGAATCTGCAAGAACAACGAAAAGTCCTGTGGCACCTTCTAGACTAACAGATATATTGGAGCATAAGCTTTCGTGGGCAAAGACCCACTTCGTCAGATGCATGTAGTGGAAATTTCAGAGGCAGGTATAAATATACAGGCATAAGAAAAGAGTTCCAATCAAAAGTAAGGTTCTCTTGATTAGAACTCTTTTCTTATACCTGTATATTTATACCTGCTTCTGGAATTTCCACTACATGCATCTGACGAAGTGGGTCTTTGCCCACGAAAGCTTATGCTCCAATATATCTGTTAGTCTAGAAGGTGCGTTAGTTTTCCTGGTGTAGTGTTCTTTCCATCTCTTTTCAGCTGTTTCATGATGCTTTAGCATTCATACAGCACATCAAACTCTCCCGCTTGTTCTTTTGCCTTTTTGCAGGTTGGATCAGGAACTTGATTTCATCCTGTCACAACAGAAAGAGCTGGAAGATTTGCTGACTCCTCTGGAGGAGTCTGTAAAGGAACAAAGTGGGACTATCTACTTGCAGCATGCAGATGAGGAGCGAGAGCGAACGTAAGGAAGTGACCCTGCTTAAGCACTTGAAATGACAGAGCTAATGTAACATTTGCGACCAGGAAATACTAAACTTGGAGTACAGGGATTATAAGTGATTGCTGTATGATTAGGAAACTAATACAGCTTGGACCTTCCTGATCTGGCACCCTTGGGACCTGACCGGACCCAAATGAGGGAATTTTCTGACTATGGAGTGGTCCTCTTCCACTGGTCTTCCAGGACACTGCCCCTCCCTCCTGCTGGCCCGGCTCCAGCCCTGCTGCTACAAGGCTTGAGGCTTGACTCTGGCCTGCTTCTGCCAGCTGGCTGGGCTCTCCAGGGGCGAAGCTCCCTAGCTGCTGGGGCTTTCCAGGGACGGGGATTGATGGCTGCCCTGCTGCTGCCGCGCCAGGTCTGGGCTCCCCAGTCCCAATGATAGCACTTCCCCACCATTGGACTGCCAACCAGCTTGTGCTCCCAGGTGCCAGGGCTTTCTGGTCCAGCAATGTTGCCTGACCAGAGAGTCTTGGATTTAGGAGGTTCAACCTATAATAGCTTTTTCTGGAGCATAACCTTCCCAATGGCTTGCATTCCCCATATTGGAAGTGGAGATAAAGAAATGGGGAAGTAGAGCTGTCAATATATTTTATTAGGTAGCATAAATGGAATTCTTTGGGAGATGTGGACTCAAGTAGCTATTTGAGGACAGACTATTAATTTTCAGAATGATCTCTTTAATAGTACTGAAAGTGAAGTCCCCTGGATGCTCGGGAATCACTGTGTGAGATGATTCAAATCATGCAGGCATTTTAGGGCAAGAACTGGTGAATTATAGTAAGGTGACCAAAGAGGGTGCCCAAGAGATGTGTCTTGCAGGGTCTGGGCCAGTTGGCTTGTTTTATTTCTCTGGCAAGGGATAAGGAGAATATTCTCTTGAATCTTAAATGATAAAGAGCTTCCAATGTCTTCACATGTGTCTCTCCTATGGAAGAACATTGGTGTTGCCTGGTTCATGTCTAGGTAAAACACTTTTCCAGCATGCTTGGTGTTTGTTTGACTTGAAGTGCTCTGACCTCATCTCCTCTCATGTGCTTTGCAGCTATAAATTGGCTGAAAATATAGATGCCCAATTGAAGCGTATGGCACAGGATCTCAAAGACATCATTGAGCACCTGAACACATCTGGGGGCCCTGCCGATACCAGTGACCCAGTGAGTATGAGCCTAGTACTCTCTGCAGGTGGTAAAAAAACTTACAAGCTGCTTAACTTGTGTAGTTCTGAATGCTCTTCATGTCCTTTGTATTTTCAGGATTTGAAAAGGATTTTACAGCATTTTTTTTCTATAGTAGGTTTTTTTTTCTGTTGACCAAATTCTTGTTCCAGCACAAGCCAGTGTGGCTCATATGCTTACTCTAGGGTCACGGTGACATTACAAACTCTGCCAACAGAGAGTGCAAAACTTCCTCCCACAGTTATTCGCCTGCTTTGTATTTCTTGTATGTAAATGTATTTGAAGTCTGGAAAATATTTCTCACCATATTGTAGATTTTTGCAGACCTATCAGATTTTGGGGTGGACATTGTATGTAAACATGTTTTGGTGTACATTTCGTCTTCGAATTCAGATCTGAATTCTCACCTATTTCTGCTACCTGTCAATCCCCAGCAAAGTTTTTGCCTTTTGGCTTGTCAGTAGAGAATTTACCTTTTAATGAACAATGCAGAGAAGGCAGTTTTCCCAGTCTCTTTTACACCACCTTGAGAGTAAACCTTTTATGGGTATGACACGTCTAATCTCTCTAAGCCTAAGAGAGCCCAGGCCACAAGGATGCTTTCCAAACCAGAGGTCCTCAATACTGCTTTGTGCTACTTCGTACTAGCTTCACTCGAGTGAAGTGACTGTTTAATGTATAGAGAATTCATTTAGTCCTGACTACTGCAGCAAGGATCAGGCCAGGCTGGTGTCTAACTGGTATTTCTTTTATTTTTGCTCACTTCCACACACATACTACAGTGAAATAACTCATGCCTAAAATCTTGCATCTATTTTTCTTCAGCTCCAGCAGATCTGTAAAATTTTGAACGCTCATATGGATTCGTTGCAGTGGATTGACCAGAACTCTGGTAAGAACCTTAATGAATGTCTTCTCCCCCCCCCCCCCCCCCGGCTTAAGTAAAGAAATAGACTGGTCAAAATGTCAGGTCTGAACTGCACTTAGGAAGGAAGACCGGGTGCCTTAAAGGAGGAGGGGAAATGCAATCTCTACTGACCTCTTTGTTCGGTGCTTAGTGGAAGGACTGAAGGTTGAGAAATCAATTAGATAGTGATTAGTGCTGGTAATGGACTGAGCAGAACAATAACTTGCTATGACGTTAAAGTACTAAGTGCAATTCTGTTCTGTGTGTTTCTTGACCATACATCAGTTCAGAAAGATACACAAGGAGCCTTCCCCAAGTACCTAGTTCATTGTCATTGAATTCACCTCTCTCTTTGTGCTCCATTAAAGGCTATAGGCCACAAGTAGCTATTGGAAGAAGTTCCTGGCCATTTGCTAAATATTTTTTAAGAAAAACAGTGTTTTAAAATGTATCCATAGAAAATGGATTTCCTGTTGATAGACACTAACTATGGGCTTTTATTAGCCTTTTTCTTTATGAAAAATGTCTTTAGGGGTCACAAATGCTAATTGCTCGTGGCCACCCCCACTGGCTTTCCTATCTCAGTATCTATTCTGTGCGAGTGCACATGCTTTCTCCCCCTCCTGACTTCCAGCACAGGAACACTGTATCTGATGCTGTTAGCTGAAGTCAAATGTTCCCTTTCTCCAGATGCAGTAACTCCATGTTCTGAGGGACATTGCAGAAGTTGCAGAGTAACAATTTGAAAAGATAATGCTGGACAGATGTTATGCTTAGTTCTGAAAGGGAAGATTGCTGTCTAGGGACTGGTTTTTTCACTAAAATATTGGGATGCTTCCAGGGTTTAATTGTTTTTTCTTAAGTTACTACACACAGTTTTCATGACCAAGAACCATCTGTCTCCCAGTAAAAAATCCGGAGTATTCTAGCTAGTTTGCATCTCTCCTTAACTTAACCTCATTAGCCACAAGGAGACACTGTAGAGTAATGTGTAATGACTCTCCAGGACTAAAGTACACCAGCTCTGCTTCCCCCTGAACCCTGCAAAGCCGCAGATGCCCCCAACAAATGGTTTATACTCATTCCTGTGGAAAATCGGCATAACTCCCTTGATTTGAATAGAAATTCTGCTTACACTGGGGCTGTATTTGGCTTCCAGATTCCTAAAAGGTGTTCATTTCTCAGTACCCAGTGCTTGCCATCATAATGAGACTTGGCTTTCCTGGGATCTTTCCTGTAGTAACAGATCTGTGCATCCAGTGGCAGAAAGTATCTGGGAAATTAAGCATTGTGTAAAACAGTTACCTGCTTCATTTGAAAATCATTATTAAAGGGGTTGCAATTTGTTCCCTCGGGTGAGAATTTTTCTTGTATTATAAATTATGGTTGTTCACCCAATTAATTAGATCATAGATTAATTGAATAATCCAGTTTCTATATTTTACAGGATGTGCAAGTTTCAAAGAGCAACATGTCAACTTTAGTATGGTAGGGCAAGTCCCTCAAGCAGGGATAGAAGCAGTTATTATTACAAAATTTATTTTTTTTCCTTTAAATGGTTCATATGCTTCTTTTGTTCCCTTGGGGTGTTCAACAAATGTTCTTATTTATACTCATCCATCACATATCCCCTTCTTTGACAGCCAAAATGGCTTGTCCCATTGATGGGACTGGGTGCAGTGTAGTTTCTAGAATCAGAGACTCTTCACAAGTTTGTAAATCCCATTCCCTAAAACACCTTCAGGGCCACTTCATGAAAACAAATCAGTTTTTCTAGACAATTGTAACTAGGGATGTTAAAAAGCGGTTAATTAAGTAACCACTGAAAATCTTAGCAGAATGGATTATAGGCCATGAAGGGAGCTGAGAGGATAGTGTATGAAGTGTGATTTGTGTATTTTCAAGTACGGAGCCAGATCCGGCCACTTATGTTTAGCAAGTGTTTAGTTTCTGACTTGGTAAAAGAAAATTGCTGAAAAAGTAAATAATTTCTGTTGTTCGGACGTAAATCAAATTGAAGTGTAATTAATTTCTGTTGTTCGGACGTAAATCAAATTGAAGTTGGGTGAGCAAGGAAGATTGGAGCAGTGGCTGAAATGTCCTCTTAGGCTTGTCCATTTGGTTTCTTCTGCCATCCTAGCCATCCAGTGTACTGTACTTTGAGCAGATCAGCAGTATCCTGTGCTGGGTTTCATCTCCCTTCCTTTTCATCCAGTGTGCTTTGAGCAGTTCAGCAGTAGCCTGTGCTGGGTTTCATCTCCCTTCCTTTTCCAAAACCTGTCTTAACCTTTGATCCTCCGTCTTTGAGACACTCTTCTCTCCTCCAGATCTGTACTGCCCACGGATGCTTCTTATGAAAAACATGCATGTATTGTGGGTTTTTTTGCACTCTCCCAACAGCTCTGCTGCAGAGGAAAGTGGAGGAGGTGACGAAAGTTTGCGAGAGCCGCCGAAAGGAACAGGAACGCAGTTTTCGGATCACGTTTGATTGAGCAATCCAAGAAATCGCTACTGCTATAATATTTACTGGATAGCCATTATGTAAAAACTTTGCGAAAATGGAGTAAAATTGTGATATCCTCTTGGTGTTTTTTTGTTTTAATAAAGTGCTTTTTTGTGTCAAACCTCCTATACTGATTCACACCATAGATTGCATGGAGCTTCTTAGTTCTGCAGCATTTCTGTGAATTTTTTTTTTGTACATATGTTTCATTCATTTAACTCAGTTATTGTTTGCTGACTTTTTAGAATATTTTAAACCCCAAGAAGTGACAGGGATAACCTCTCCAGCTCAGTATTACATTAAAATCGGACTTATGATGATGTACATTCAGATCTAAGCTTTGCATATGCTATTGAAATAACTTTTTCAAAATGCAAGTAATACATGTTTGCCACTGAGTCAGATCATCAAACTGATGGAAGTCACTGGCAAAGTGACTTTAACCAGTTTGTTAAAGTGGTAAACCAGCTTTGGAAAGCAATAGCCTCTTGTGCAGATAACATTTAGTTCATTTCAGCTTATTCAACTGTTTCAGTTCAGTGATTAGTTCATTAAATGTTAAGATGATTGGGAGTTGAGGTGGAGCCAGGGCCTGCTTGTTTTCTCTTCCACTCTATGAAAAAGTGTGAGCAGATGGTGACCAGAAGCAATAGTTCCGTTCAAGTACAGATAATACTTCCTTTGTTTTAATAAGTTTTAAATGCAAACAGGTTTTGATAAACTTCTTTTCTTATGTATCTAGCACTTGTAAGTTTGTTTTTTCTTTGGTTAAATAAAACTAAAATGTTGGGGTTCGGGGACATTTTTAATTGAATTCCACATTCCATAAATAGAGCTTGACAGCAATCACATGTGAAAATGTAACCTACTAAAGAAGTGTACTATTTACCATTTTCTAACCTGAGTAAATATTAATCTTTTATTGTAAGATATAAAATGATTTAAATGTGTATAAATAGTGTATCCTGATGAGCCAAAAGTACCACATTTAGTGTATTTTGTTGCATAACATTGCTCTAATAAGAATCAGCCTCTCTTTAGCAAACCAACTAAACTACTAATGTAAAACAAGGTTGAAAGTGGTAAATTAAAACAAAGGTTCCTGCTTGTTTACTTAAACTAATCCATGCTAAACTGGGCCTGTTTCCACTTCTGAAACCACGGCCTGCATTCTGCCATCTGCAATAAGTTGGGTGCTCCCTTCATGCTTGTATCCCAGTCTTTTCTGAGATGTCATAATTCTATGCATTTTCTTTTCTGATTCAAAGATCATGAGATTGCAGGTAAATTGTTGGAGGTGTCCTGGTCCCTAGGGTTAGAGAAAGTGGGTGAGATGATAAATATATTTTATTGGACAGGCTGATGTTGGTGAAAGAAACAAGTTTTTGAGTTACTCCAAGACCTGAAGAGCTGTTTGTGACTAGTGGGGGTACCTTGCTGATTGCTAGGCTTGGGCTGTGAGTGAGCCCCACTGGCTGCTGTCTGTACCACGGCCCAGCAGAGTAGCTGATGGGACAGGGAGGTGACCTGTTCGACCAGTTACCCCCCAGAGAGCGGAACAAAGGAAGGTGGAATGCCGCCCCTGGCTGGGGGCAGGGCTGGCAGGGACGGGTCTTTAGTGGCTGTCTGGGAAGCAGGGGAGAAGGAGCTAGGGAGGGGGTTGGGATTGTAGGGCCCAGCTACCCCCCATCTCAAGGAGGGGCACTGAGGCTCTTAGCCCCAGGCCCTGTAACCAGATTACATCTGTGCTGTGCTGTGCTGTATCCTGGAGGAGCAATAAACGCCCTCTATTCTACTGGCTGGTGGAGTCTGTCCGTGCCATTACGGGGGTGCAGGAAACGGGAAAACCCCAACGTGCTGTCACACTGTATATAGCTTGAACATAGTCTTGCATCAACATCAGCTGGCCTAATGAAAGATGTTACTTCACTCACCTTGTCTCTTCAGAGGAAAATTGGCATTTCAGCAACACTTAGCCCTGGGGTGGGCAATAAGCAGCCATGGGCCACATGTGGTCTGCCACGGTTAGCCTCTGGCAGACTGCCAGATACTTTATTTACCTGCAGGTCCACAGGTATGGCCTCTTGCAGTTCCCATTGATCATGGTTTGCTGTTCCCAGCCAATGAGAGCTGGGGAAAGTTGTGGCTCAGCCCATGGGATGCTTATTGTCCACCTTAACTTAGCCCCAGATCCACAAAGATATTTGACTTCAGTGGAAATTAGGAACCTGAATGTATTTGTTGATCTGGGTCTTATTCTTGAGCACTTGTAGTGTTCAATGAATTCTATACCATATGTGGACCATGGGGGCAAGTGGCAGTGGACATCTATATTCTTTGTTGTTTTAGACTGAATTTATATGTTGTTTGTAGGAAGGTGGTGAAACTGGATTGAGCTTAGTTTGTACAAAGATTTGCTCAGATACAAGGTGTATAGAATTTACTGTTGCACTAATAAGAAAACAAACACCAGGCCTGCTGATAGGCTGGAGAGATGCAGCTTCCCTTCTCAGTGCTCTCTAACTCAGCGTCATGGAGTAGAAATGACTGTCTCCAGCCAACTTATAAGATTGAAAGATAGAGTTGGTAATACAGTCTACCCTTCCCTCTCCCTTGGTTTGCCCTATCGCTTTAGCTGGCCCATCACTTTAGCTGATGCTCCTGATGTTTACTGAGGTTAATAAACTTAAACAACCAATAGTCTGGTAGCACTTTAAAGACTAACAAAACTTGTAGATGGTATTGTGAGCTGTCATGGTCTGAAGAAGTGGGCTGTGCCTACAAAAGCTCATGATACCATCTACATCAGGCCTGCACAACATGCAGCCCGCAGGGGCTCACTGTGTGGCCCCATCCGATCCGCTGGCTGGACAGAGAAGGGGAGCGGGAAGTGTGATTAACGCTACCGGGCTGCCTAGGTGCAGCTCTGGCGCGAGGAGGCGGGGTGTGAGCCAGAGGGCGGGATGCTGGCAGATGCCAGGACGCTGGCGTGACATGATGTCACGGTCAGTGACCGCTGGATTCAAAAAGGCAGAAGCCAGGTAGGGGAGGAGAAGGGGCTTGTGCTGAGGGGAGAGGGGCAGGTCAGGAGAAAGGGGAAGACACCAAGCGGGGATAGGGTGAAGGAGAGACGAAATGTCATGGGGCCAAGTGTAGACTTGTGGCCCGCAGCTGTCTTCTTTGGAGTAATATGGCCCTTGTTGCTTTCCGAGTTCGGCAGGCTTGACTTATAAGATTGCAAGATAGAGCTGGTAATACAGTCTACCCTTCCCGCTCCATTGGTTTGCCCTATCACTTTAGCTGACCCATCACTTGAGCTGATGCTCCTGATGTTTGCTGAGGTTAATAAGCTTAAAAAACAACTAATAGTCTGGTAGCACTTTAAAGACTCACAAAACATATGGATGGGATCATGAGCTGTTGTGGTCTGAAGAAGTGGGCTGTGCCCACAAAAGCTCGTGATACCATACGTTTTGTTAGTCTTTAAAGTGCTACCAGACTATTAGTTGTTTTTTAAGCTTATTAACCTCAGCAAACATCAGGAGCATCAGCACTAGTGCCCGGTCAGGAACAGGCCTGCAGTTGCTATACATATAAAGCCCTTTTTGCGGAAAAGCATCTGTGCCAATCTAGAGGCTTTTCCGCAAAAAAGCCCTGATCGCCATTTTTGCGATCGGGTCTTTTTTGTGCAAAACAAATCTGAGCTGTCTACACTGGCCCTTTTGCGCAGAAGGACTTTTGCCTGAACGGGAGCAGCATATAGTATTTCTGCAAGAAGCACTGATTTCAGACAGTAAGAAGTCTGTTCTTGCGGAAATTCAAGCGGCCAGTGTAGACAGCTGGCAAGTTTTTCCACAAAAGCGTTTGTTTTTGCGGAAAAACTTGCCAGTCTAGACCCAGCCTCAGTGTAAGAAGGACTTGCTGGTGTCTGTATGGCGCTTGGCTCCGATCATGGCTGGTGCCTGTCACACCATACTCAACATGATGACTAATAGCAGGCCATGCTGGGGCTCAGGCACCCCAATCTAGCTGTGAGGAAGCCCCTGGGATCTGCTGCATGGGGAGCAGGGCTGGGCGCAGGGAAGAAGAGGACAGGCCCCCGTCTTGCCAGCTTGCAGGACTCCCCTGCGGGTTAGCGACGGGGGCAGGGCTGAGCCTCACTGTACTACAACTCCCAGAAGCCCATGGGGCGGGGCCCGCCTCGCTCGTTCACGCGGGTTGCGCGGTGCTGCTGGGAGTTGCAGTCCAGGCCCTGAGCTGGAAGGGGCCGGAGCCATGCGCAGGTGAGGGGGAGGGGGGTGCTCTGGGAGGAAGGATGGGGGGCTGTGGAGTTCGGGGTGCACAGAGGGGAGGTGGGGGAGGAAGGATGGGGTGCTCTGGGAGGAAGGATGGGGGGCTGTGGAGTTCGGGGTGCACAGAGGGGAGGTGGGGGAGGAAGGATGGGGTGCTCTGGGAGGAAGGATGGGGGGCTGTGGAGTTCGGGGTGCACAGAGGGGAGGTGGGGGAGGAAGGATGGGGTGCTCTGGGAGGAAGGATGGGGGGCTGTGGAGTTCGGGGTGCACAGAGGGGAGGTGGGGGAGGAAGGATGGGGTGCTCTGGGAGGAAGGATGGGGGGCTGTGGAGTTCGGGGTGCACAGAGGGGAGGTGGGGGAGGAAGGATGGGGTGCTCTGGGAGGAAGGATGGGGGGCTGTGGAGTTCGGGGTGCACAGAGGGGAGGTGGGGGAGGAAGGATGGGGTGCTCTGGGAGGAAGGATGGGGGGCTGTGGAGTTCGGGGTGCACAGAGGGGAGGTGGGGGAGGAAGGATGGGGTCTTTCTACAAGGAAAAAGCTTTTTTCCAAAAGGGCTCTTTCGGAAAAAGGCGTATGTGGATGGGGAAGAGGGAGTTTTTCCGAAAGAAGAGGAAAGAGGAAAAAGCACAGGGGCCCTAGTGGCCATTCCGTCCATAGTAGTCACAGCTTACATGTGATATAGCATTCATTCATTGTGGATCCTCTCTTTTGAAAAAGCATATCGATTTTTCGATGCGCTTTTGCCATGTGGACGCTTTCTTTCGGAAGGAGTTTTTTCAGAAGATCACTTCCGGAAAAGCTTCTTCCGAAAGAAGCTTGCAGTCTAGACGTATCCCCACGTTCAATACCTAGCTCAGTATCTGTGTGATCTTGGGCAAATCACTTACTCTATTATCTCTCTGATGGTGGGGGTTGAGGGCGCTCTGGGGGGATGGTTTCCTTGTACACAATTTCCTGTGAGACTCTAATGCAGGCAGCTGTTTGTACAGGAATCCCAGCGTTGCCAACACTTGTGATAGTATCTTGTGCGAATCCCACAATACTTAGCGTTTTTCTTAAAGCCTGGAAGCAAGACAGGGCAAGGACATCTCCGGTCCCTTTCAGTACCCTTGACACGATACGCTAAAAGCTTCGGTGAGATGCGGGGGCGTCTTTCCCAAGGGCAAACTCTGGTAGAGATTTTTTAAAAGGAAGTTCCAGTTTAACACAGGGCTCCAGACTAAGCTGGCACGACAACCAATAATAGAAGATAAAATAAAAGATCATAATGCAGCTGTACAAATATGCCCACACCTTGAATACTGGGCGCAGTTCTGGTTGCCCCACCTCTAAAAAGAATACAAGAACTGGAAAAAGCAGTGAGAAGGGCAACAAAAATGATAAGGGAACAACTTCCCTCTGAGGAGAAATTAAAAGGCCTGGCACAGTGCATCTGAGCAAAGAGATGACTATGAGCAGATATGACAGAAGTCTATACTATTACGCATGGTGCAGAGAAAGCGAATCGGGAAGGCATTACCCCATCACATAACAAGAACTAGGAGTCGTCCAATGAAATTAGTAGGCAGCAGGCTTAAAACAAACATAAGGAAGTAGGTCTTCACCCAATGCACAGTCAGTCTGTGGAACTTGTTGCCAAAGTCTGTTGTGAAGGCCAAAAGTATAACTGGGTTCAGAAGAGATTAGTTCATGGAGGATAGGGCCATCAGTGCCAATTAGCCAAGGTGATCAGGAGCCCAACTCCATGATGAGCATGTCCTGAAACCTCTGATTGCCAGAAAGCCTGGACACTGGGCTGGATCAATTGAAATTGGCCCTGTCTTGTTCATTCCCTCTGAAGCATCTAGTACCAGCCAAGGTCAGAAAGAGCATATTGGCCTTGATGGACCATTGCTCTGATCCGTGTGGCTGCTCTTATACCAGCGCGTCTCTAGGGGTCAACGGAATTGAAGCTTTCATTTCAAAACAAATGGAAGTTTCTAGCTGTGATTGTTGTGGAGAAGCCCAGATGTTGCCCAGTGCCTGGCTCACCGCCTGAGCTGAGAGGCAGCCTGACAACAGCGGCCCGAAGATAGTAGTGGGCTGCTTCATTCATACCAATACAGTATTAAAGCCTAAATCGTAATACGGGTCAGACGTCTGCGCTGTTACCATTTCACTGCTCACCACTTCAGCAGAAACAGCCTTTAAGATTGTGAATGGGGCTTGAGAAGTAAATCAGCAATTTCTTCCCGTCCCCTATTCTGACCTTGGTACAGGCGCTGAGAGACGGAAACAATCACAGAACAGTAGATAACAATGGCCTTTAAAATTCGGTACGAAATAACAAACGTGGGGCACTATTCCATGCATGGAGCAAGTTCTCCCTTAAGAAAGGCCGGTTGCTAATCCAGTTTGTAACTACGTTCTAGCATGCCGCCAACTTCCTGCTTTCTTTGACCGTCTCCGCTGGCTTTGTGTTTGATTTGGAGGTTGCTTTTTTTTCCTTTTTGCACTGAATCATTTGAAGCTAGGCAGGAGTCATTTATGAAAGTAGATCTTCTGTAACTAAACATTACAGGATGACGGATGACTAAAAAGATGATGCTTGTGGGATATTTTAAAAATCATCTGTGCATCTTTCTAATGGACATCAGTGAGGCATTCTGCCTTGCCGGTTATTTCTAGTTCCCTCTTGTTCTGGATAGCCCATCTGGACTATCTCACTGATTTCCTTGTGTTCTAACAAAGGGCTGGAAAGCAGAATATGAATACGCTTGATGTGGAGGTGTAGGGAGTAAAGCACTCTCGGCAACTTACTGACTTACTCGCTGTTTTTTTTCTGAGCCCAGGGTCAACAGCAGCCTGTCTAGTGATGACCTTCTTCTGGAGGATTTGGAGACAGAAGGAGAGCGGCAGCTGAAGAGCCTCCTTCACCATCAGCTTGAGACTGCTGTTTCCATTGAACAGTGAGTATTGAACCAGCCGGCTACGCACAAGAGGCTGGGGAAGCTGATGGCCTCCCATGCTGGCGGACAGAGCACGTTCTGATTCTGGAGCAGCATTGATGCTGTCGCATGCGGCTGCTGAGATATTGGTGTAGGCGAGTCTGAATCAGTATCCAACAGATGGAAGCGGGTTGCACAACCACAGCTTTTTGTGCTGTGTCTCCCTCAAGTGCTGAGCTTTGGAGCATGACTCTTTGGAGCGTGACACAGTCAACCAGTGGAACTCCTTGCCAGAGGATGTTGTGAAGGCCAGTATTTTAGCAGGGTTCAAAAAAGAACTAGATAAATGTATGGAGGATAGGTCCATAGATTCTGATTAGTCAGGATGGTAGGAATAGTGTCCCTAGCTTCTGTTTGTCAGAGGCTGGGAATGGGGCAAACACAAGGGGCAGGTTACAGAGGACAGCATCTATAGAAGTACCATAAACAAGAAGTTTGGTGGCATTATAAGACTAACAAATGTATTTGGGTATTAGGACATAAGCACAACCTCTCCGGTGCCCATGCTAGGCTGGTGCAGGTGGAGAGCGGGGCTGCTGTTTTGGGTTGCAGGTGCGTGTCCAAGCGGCGATGCTTTGCCCCAGCCGCGCTTTACAAGCCCTTTGGAGAGGAGGCAGCAGGGACTCTGACCTTATCGCAATTCCAGGCCCTGCAGGAGAGTGAGCAAGAAACAGCCTCTCTTCGGGAACTGGGGCTCTCGGACTCCGAGATCCTACTCTGGAAGAACCATGCGGCAGCCGATAAGGTGAGGCAGGAGCTTTGCCACCAGCTACAGGACCCAGCTGAGAGAGCCATCTAGAACAGAGTTTCTCAACCTTTTTTTATAAAGTACCCCTTTAAAAAAGATGATAAGTACCTACAGTTTCCAGAGACACAATTTTTTTTTCTACCATTGCAACACATTTGTTTATACAACTTAATCGTAGCCGGGCGGGCAATGAAATTTTTGGGTGTAAAAAGTACAAAAGTAATAAAGTGCTGTAAAAAATGCAGTTTTCTCCACGCTTCAGTTGTGTTGACGTACCCACCAGATTTCTCTCGAGTACCCCTAAGGGACTCGTACCACTGTTTGAGAAACACTGATCTAGAGCCTAAAGGAGCCTGCAGTCCAAAGCTCTGCAGAGCATATTAATAATAGGCAGGGCTCGACAAACTATGTAATCTACTTGCTCGTGGCGAGTAGATTACAACCCGGAAGAGCCGGGTTCGGGCGATCTGTGCATGCACAGAACGATCTGCGCATGTGCAAATCGCCGGACAGCTTTTAAAGCAGCCTAAGCGTTCTACCAAGGAATAACTAACAGTGCATCTACGTACCAGAGAGCTGCATGCACAAATCAATTGGAAACAAGGTGCAGCTGTTACCCCAGTGTTCCTGGCTCCCTTTAACTGAGCACTGGGTATGTGGATACAAATACAGACCGTCCTCGCTGTAAGTCCAAGATACAGTCCAAAAAACTTGGACTTATAGCGAAACCGCTTAAAGTGAGGAATTTTTTCCCCACAGCTGACTTCTGTTTGCGCCATTTTTTTTTTTGCGCGCGACTTAAGAGCGGGGAATGGGAGGACTTATGACGCATCCGTTCCTACAAACGTCAGCGCCTTTCGTGTGGAATGGGTGTATACCGGGGCGACTGACAGCAGGGACGCCCTGTAAACGAGGAGCAAAGTGAATTAAATCAGAACTGGCAGGAAGCTCAGGCGCGAATGAGCTGCTTCGACCTTCCTTCTCCGAGTGGTGTGTTCCCAGCGTTGAGTATGATGCTGTCTCTGCCCTCCTCCGATATAACAGATGCTCTCGAGCCCGCCCCCCTTGGGGTAGCTCTTGCCCCTAATCAGTGCCTGGATTTCCAGCATCGCTCTGAAAGGGAGGCGGGTTTTCTCCTGAGCGATGCTGCTGTTGTGTTTCAGGGCTCCGGGCTGGGGGCAGCCCCGGAAGCCACGCAGGAACGGCTGCGGGCCATCCAGGAGAAGATCGCAGAGCACCAGCGCATCCTGTCCCTGCCGCAGAGATTTGCTGGCAGCAAACAGCTGAGCCGGCGGGAGATGGAGATTGAGAACGCGCTCTTCCAGGGGACGGACCGTCACTCCTTCTTGCGGGCGCTCTACCATCAAGGTACACAGGCCACCTGCGCTGCTGGCAGGGTGGGAGAAACTCACTGTTTACCGGAGAGTACAGGAGGAAATATTCTATGAATGTAGATCTGGGGCAATCTGGGGTGTTTGCTTCCTGCCCTTTCTCCCTGAAGAAATGGTTCCAGTTCTACACTGTGTGTTGGGGGGTGGAGGAGTGGGAGGGAGCTATTTTCCTGTGGCTAAGCACATCTTGCCAGAACAGACTGTTTAAAGGGATCTCTAACATATGAGCCCACACAGAGCCACTGTCAGAATGGATAGCCCCCGCCAGCAGGCTGAATTCTGCACTCTCTGATACCTGTCCTGCCCTGTTGGCTCACTGGGATGCCAGAGGTGTCGCTGGAGGCAGAGTTCAGCCTGTATGTTTAATAGAAGCAGGTTCTCTTAATTATTTGTGCTTCCCAGGAGCCCCAACCAAAATCAGTGCTCCATCATGCTAGGCAGTGTGAACACACACAAGCTAAATATACAAAATAGCTACAGGGTGGGAGAGACACTGACTCGGGTAAGTGACTTGGCCGAGGTCATCCTGCAAGGTCAGTGGCAGAGTCAGAAATGGAACCCACGTGTCCTGATTCCCTGCTCAGTGTCCTCTCCACTTCCCCACACTCTCTCTCACCTGAACATCATTTTTCTCCTGCCCCTTGGGTGTATTCTTTCACACAGCCAGACCCTTATGCAGTGGTGCTTAGCACTGCTCTAGAAGACTTCAGAACTGCATCATATGCCAGATCATGGCCAGGTTTTGCAAGCAAAACAATTAGGTTTTGTTTGTAAACCCCCTCCCCGCTTAGTGCAGGATTCTCGCGACTTATTTTTAAAAACGCCTTTGTGACGATGATTGTGCTAGACCAGGGGTGGGCAAAAGAGTCTCCGCAGGCTGGATACAAGCAGGTTGATCTGGCCCACCGAGGACCTGCCACTCTCCCCGCCCCCAGGCCAGTCAGAGCTTGGGGGTGGCGGGATGCACATGAACTTTCCTCTGCCCGGCCCCTGCCCTGCAAGGAGCGCATGGTGCTTAGAAACGCCACGGGCTCCTGGCAGGGTGGGAGGAGACTTCGTGCACTCCCCTTGCCTCAAGCCCTGATTGGCCTGGGGCGGGGGGAGCACACATAGTTTCCTCCCACCGCCAGGGGCACAGGCACCTAGGGGGAACCTCGGGTGGGGGGCAAAGACGTCACTCGCTTCTCCACCACCAGACCAATCATGATCTGTGGGTGGGGAAGCAGAGCAGTGTCCTGTTCCTGTCCCTTCCCCTGGAGGCTCTGCCCCTTCTGGTGCAGTCCAGGGCCACTTCAAAAATGTCTGAAGTGGCCCTTGGTAAAAAATTATTGCCGATCCCTGTGCTAGGCGCTGTACAAATACAGGCAAGAGAGATGGCCCTTGTCCCAAGAGCTGACAGTCTAATGACATTGATTCCCCTTCCCACCTACAGCCGCAAAGTCCAGGAAGTGCAGCTGCCCGCTGACTGACCGCTCTGGTGTCAGCGCCCCAGCTCAGAGCAGCGTAACAAAGTCAAGAAGCAGCCTAGATTAATGCTACGTGAAAGGAGAGAGAATTTCCTTTTGCCCTAAATGAATTCTTTGCATTGGTCTTTAAGGCTGAGGATACCGGGGAGATTCCCAAACCCGAGACATTCTTTTTAGATGACAAATCTGAAGAATTGTCCCAGGTTGAGGTGTTATTACAGGAAGTTTTGGAACAAATTGATAAACTTAACAGTAACAAGTCACCAGGACCAGATGGCATTCACCCACGAGTTCTGAAAGAACTCAGATGTGAAATTGCAGAACTACTGACTGTGGTTTGTAACCTATCTTTTAAATCAACTTATGTATACCAAGTGACTGGAAGATAGCTAATGTCACGCCAGTCTTTAAAAAGAGCTCGAGAGGTGACCCTGGTAATTACAGACCAGTAAGTCTAAGGTCAGTACTGGGCAAATTGTTGAAACTATAACAAAGAATAGAATTGTCAGACACATGGATGAACTTAATTTGTAGAGGAAAAGTCAGCGTGGTTTCTGTAAAGGGAAATCATGCCTCACTAATCTATTAGAGTTCTTTGATGGGGGGTTAACAGGCATGTGGCCCAGGGGATCCAGTGGATATAGTGTACTTAGATTTCCAGAAAGCCTTTGACAAGGTCCCCTCACCAAAGGCTCTGAAGTAAAGTAAGCTCTCATGAGATAAGAGGGAAGGTCCCCTCATGGATTGATAAATGGTTCAAAGATAGGAAACAAAGGATAGGAATAATGGTCAATTTTCAGAATGGAGAGAAGTAACTGGTGGGATCCTGCAAGGGTCCATACTGGGACCAGTCCTATTCCATATATTCATAAATGATCAGGAGAAGGGGGTAAACCGTGAGGTCGCAAAATTTGCAGATGATACCGAACGGCTCAAGATCGTTAAGACCAAAGCAGACTGTGAAGAGCTTCAAAAAGATCTCCCCAAGCTAGGGCTACGTCTGTACTGCAGCCTTCTTCCGCTAAAGCTTATGCAAATGCAGCACAGAGTAGAATATCGCCGCGCTTCATGTGCATAATTAATTAATTAGCAGCTGTTTTTGTGCAAGAGGCTTTTGGAGCTGTGTAGACGGCTCCTTTTTGTGCAAAACCCCCTCTTGCACAAGAGCTGTTTTTCCAAAAAAAATGAGGAAGACTGGCTCTTGCGCAAGAGAAACCAGTCCGCATGCTGGTCTCTAGAACATATCGAAATCAAGAGGCAGATTAGCTCCTTATCAAGTCTGCAGGATGATTGATAAAGCATTGATAGAAAGCATTGTGGTAGAGTTGCTGTTCTTCCTGGAATACCATCAGTCACTGCAGGCAGCCTACATTTTGCCTTTCAGTAACTTCCAGACTCCTGCCAGAGGCTGGACTGAGCTGCTCCAAAGCAGAACTTCCTGTCTTTGGAGCCCGGGCTGTGGCTGTCCCTAGTGAGCTATTCATTTACTTGTGGTGGTGGGTTTTGTCATGTCACTAATATTCCTTTGCTGTGGATTAGACGAAGCTCAGAAGCGGATGGTGAATGAGAAGGACCCCATAGGTCACTTGGAGAGTGTCTGTCAAGAGATGCTGAAAAAGCCATTGCCCAGGGAATCCGAGTCTGCAAGAAGTGATCCAGGCTTACCTTGTTTCCCGGCCCCAAATGGTGCTCTCGTAAAGGATACCACCCAGCTTCCAGACCAGGGAGAGCAGACAGAAGAAGATGGAGGTCCCAGTCTCCCCAGGGTGAAACCACCGGAGTCTGTGGCCCAGCGACCCACCCAAGGGCCTGCAACTGTAAAGGAGCCTGTAGAGTTCATCCCAGAAGAGGAGATCCGCAAGAATCGTCTCTCGGAGGAGGAGATCAGGAGCATCTCCCGGTTCTCCTCCTACAAGCCAGGAGAGCCAAGCAAGGTATCGTGAGCACCGAGCTGAAGGTAATAAAGTGCTATGTTTCTCTTCCTCGTTACTGTACCATGCCCTGATGCAGAGCTCTGGGGAAGCTGTTCTGGCACCCGTGCTAGATTCATGGATGCCAAGGCTCATGGGCAGACTGCTATAATGGGTACAGATTCCTGCTTGCTAATGATGGAGCATCACCAAATCGGTATGTGTCGTCACCTCCCAGCCAAAGGAGGAGTAGTCTCTGCGAGGGGAAAAGGGGGAAATTTGGAGTCAGCAGAAGAGATTTCCCTGCCTAAATACTCCTGGGTACCTAACTGCCTGCCGTGCTTCCAAGCCAGCCCCAGATGGACGATAGCAGGAGGAAGATCTTTGACTCTTGGGGTATGTCTAGACTACGTGCCTCTGCCAGCAGAGGCATGTAAATTAGACTACCCGACATAGTCAGTGAAGCGGGGATTTAAATATCCCTGGCTTCATTAAAATAAACATGGCCGCTGCGCTGTGCCGGCTCAGTTGATCGTGGGCACAGCACGGCAGTCAAGACATGGATCGGTCGACAGGGATTGCCTTTGTCGACTGATCCTGTAAACCTGGTTTCACGAGGCATAAAGGAGCGGTTGACAAAGGCGTTCCCTGTGGACCGATCCGCGTCTTGACTGCTGCGCTGTGCCGACGATCAACTTAGCCGGCACAGCACAGCGGCCATTTTTATTTAACTGAAGCCGGGGATATTTAAATCCCCGCTTCATTGACTACGTCAGGTAGTCTAATTTACATGCCTCTGTCGGGAGAGGCATGTAGTCTAGACATACCCTTGGAGACCTAGACACACACAGTGCCTCCTCCATAGCTAGTCATGAGCAGTCTGAATGTGCCGTTACTGAATGCTGTGTGTAAACCTTGTGTAACAGCCAGCAAGAGCTCATGATCTAAATAACGGGAGTAAACAGGAACCTATGTAGATATGGTGTGAGAGATCTTCAGAGAAGCCGCAAGATGCTCTCCTATATGTGACTGTCATCTAAAACACGAAAGCTTCAGAGGGGTAGTCTGTAACAGGAAAACTTAAAAACCAACCAATAGCCTGGTAGCACTTTAAAGATGAACAAAACATGTAGATGGTATCATGAGCTTTCGTGGGCACAGCCCACTTCTTCACATGACTGGGGTGTCAGATGCCCAGAACCAAAAATAAATAAAAGAAGGAGGGCAGGGACGGAGGGAAAGCAGGAAAAAATTGGAGGGTGGGGGGAGAAAAAGAGGCAGAGGGCAGATACATTTCAAAGGGAAAGCCGAGCCAGTCTGTAACAGGAAAAACTGAAAATCAACAAATAGTCTATTAGCACCTAAAGACTAGATAGTTCAAAGAGGCAGATAAGAACTATTAGTTTGCAGTGTAAAGGAAGAGTATTAACACTAGATTCTACACAGACATAAAGAACCATAGGCACTTTTGTAGGTTGGCTGATAATGTCCCAGCCATCCAATAGCCTGATATTAGGATGCTAATAGACTATTTGTTGATTTTCAGTTTTTCCTGTTACAGACTGGCTCCACTTTCCCTTTGACATTTTTCTCCCCCCACCCTCCAATGTTCTCCTTCTTTCCCCACCGTCCCTGCCCTCCTTCCCTTATTTATTTTTGGTTCTGGACATGCGACACTCCGGTCATGTGAAGAAGTGGGCTGTAGCCACAAAAGCTCATGATCCTATCTACATGCTTTGTTTGTCTTTAAAGTGCTACCAGACTATTGGTTGTTTTTTAAGTTTTTTTCTAAAATACAGCCGCCAAGGTGACGGTGGGGGAGGGCTGTAGTGGGGTGAGAGAGGGCCCTTCTCACACATGGCTGAGGTGACTCTCTCTTCCTGCCCCGTTGTTCTGGGGGCTGGTTAGGTGCTGTATCTGAAGAACCTGAGTGCCCGGGTGACGGTGAAAGACCTGCTCTCGCTGTTTGCTCGGTTCCAGGAGAAGGACGGCCCACCGATCCAGTTCCGCCTGCTGAGTGGCCGCATGAGGGGCCAGGCCTTCATTACCTTTCCCAGTGAGTCGCTCTGCTCCATCCCACAGATCTTTCGTGACGGTGCCGTGTCCACTCCGCAGTGCACAGTGCTACAAGGGCCATGCTCCCTGGGGTGAAGGGGGAATTTGGCTTCATGCCTATCTGACCTCAGCATCCCCATGCTGCCCGCGTGACGAATCTGAGAGCGGGATTCCTTATCCCACGTTCGATCAGTGCTGGCATTCCCACACTGAGATCCCAGCACTACAGCTCTGTGCACGGAGAAGACAGCAGAAAGAGCCAGGAGGAGACATCCTCGTCCTGAGGGCTGTACTTGAACCAGTGGGCTGGACAGCAGAGCTGATTGTATGAGCAGTTATATGTGCCTGTGACCTGAGCTCACTCGCCTCTCCTGTTCCAGGCATCGAGATTGCCCGGGAAGCCATGCTGCTGGTGAACGGCTACAGCTTGCTGGGGAAGACGCTGGTGATAGAGTTTGGGAAAAGCAAGGAGCAGGCGTCAAGTGTTGCCTCTGCCTCCCCCAGCTTGTGCGCCACAGACCGTGCAGAGAAACCCACTACTAGCTAGAGGACAAGTAATCCGTGAGGCGTGCGTGGAACATGATGCTGCATTACTCGGCTGTTGGGACAGTCTCCGTAAGTCTCGGAGTCTGAGCTCCGCACTCAGATAGCTGAATCCCAGTGTAGGCTAGAGGAGTCCCGGGAGCTCGGTTCTTTCCGGTGAGGCCCAGATGAAAGCTAGAAATCACCTCACTCCACGTGAGCAGAGGTGACCCTTGGGATGACAGGAACAGAGGCCACCTCTCCCGGCCTGCGGCAGAGGGGATGCTGCGCCGAGTGGCTTGATGACAGACACTCTGGTTGGAGGGAGCCTGAGGATCTTAAATTGCTGTGTGTTTGAACACTCCTCCCGGGCAGCGTGCGCCGAGGCATGAGGCCTGTGCTGTGTTCCATTCTGTGTGGATTTTAATCACACAACTTTATGCTGTTTGGACAGGACACCAGCTGGCCATCTCCTCTGTCGCACATGATGGCGTTTCCCTCCTGTTTTCTCTCTGTTGTGGTGACCTGTAAGGGGAGCGAATATGTGAATAAATGTGTTCCAGTTCTATTTGCTTCGTGCGTGTCTCTATTCCCCAGATGCTCTTGAACCATTCACCCTCTCAGTACCTTAGGAGAGCTGCATCCACCATCTCCTTTGCCTAGGGGAGATCTTTTTGGAGACTGCAGAAGCCTTCTAGGTAGGCCCTATTCTTTAGGACCATATGTGTTGTGCTTTGCAGAATAGACCATAAGAGATCTCGCTTCTTCCTCACAAGTTACTGTACCAGAGCAGACTAGCAATGGTCTGTCTGGTCTGAGAGCCTCTCTCTGACAGTGGATAGCAGAGGAGGGCTCGGAAGAAGGCATAAATGCCCCTCTTGTCACCCCATAGCCACTTGGCTACACCAATGCTTTTGATTTTACAGGTTGAATCTCTTTGGTCCAGAACTGTCTGGTCCAGCAACATCCATGGTCCAGCATGATTTTAGTTTGCCAGATGTCCACTTAACATAGGTGTGGCCAAGTTTCCTGCGGTCCCATAAAATTTGTTTCCAGCCATCAGTCCTGGTTCTCCGTGTTCTGTGCTCTTATTTAGCTCTAATTTACCTCCTCTTCTGAGAGCCCAGTAAGCGGTGGAAGTGCTGGTAATGCAGCGAGGCAATATTGACCTGCTGTGATTCGGCAAATTCTCTGGTTCAGATCTCGATAGTGCCGAACTAGAGAGGTTCAACCTGTACTATGCTACTTGAGTGGGAAAACTTCGCGACCCCTCACTTTTGATCCACTATTACTCTGAATCACAGAGATTGGTGGCCTTTGTGATTTTTTTTCCCAGCTAGCTTCCCAGCTGCTGTTGATATAAATGTTCGATTGCTTTCTAAGAATTATGCTGTTTTTCATCAGGAATATTTTTCATCCTCTGTCAATAAATATGGCAGGTTACTGTAATGCTGCCTCTCCACCAACCTGCCTGTCTTTGGAGAGAAGCATTTGAGATCCCTTTGATTGATGGAACCAGATTTTATGGCTTTAACAGAGGTGAGCTGAGCAACACCTGCCACGCACCCAGAAGAGATGCGGAGTCCCTATAACAGCTGGTTCCTTTCCCTAGCAGCCAGCCAGTAACCCAGCTGTCTGTTGCTGTTTTATCCTCTTGTCTAGTCTCCCCCTAGCCTGTCAGTTTGATTTTTCTGGCTCTTGTCTCTTTTGTCAGCTCTCATTAGCCTTTCGCCATGTGCCGTGCGCAAAATCTAGGCCTGAGTTCAAACGTCAAAGGGAGTGATGTGCAGTGTCCTATGCTAGAGGGTGACTTTGGAGCAAAGCAGAATGCAGAGGTATTACTGCATGCATCCTTGACGAATGCTCTACACACCACAACAGAACTCTCTGGCTTTAGTCCTAAACCCCTGAGACCTTGCAAACCCTGGAGGCCTAGTTCTTCAAAACAGCCGCACGCTAGGCACATCTGAGGAGCATTCTTGGACTCTTCAAACCCCAGAGTTCCTTTGGGACTCTGTTTGGCGGCCCCATTCTGCTTAGTTCACATTGTCACAGAATGTTTGTGTGTCACCAAGGGGATGGTTCCAAGCTCAACACGGGCAGGGATTTGAATTTCATAGGGAGCAGAGAAGATGGAATTTTCTTCCACTTGACAAGCGTAGAAAACAGAGGGACGTGCTAGAGGTAGGTCCTGATTAGGGGTATGAATGGTTAATAACCAGTTACCTGATTAAACGAGATTTTATATCCCTAGTCCAGAGTATCCATTTTGTTTCCTTTCATGAGTGAGTCTTTACATTCAGTTTTCCCCTTTTATGCCCACGCTTCCCTGAAGGTGTGTAGCCTTGAATGATCATAGGGAGCTGATAGTGGGACTTGGGGACAGGATGAACTGCTGGGCAGGGGACAGGCAGATTAGGTGAGTGCCCCCCCAGCCGGGTCCAAAATCATCTTCCTTAATACCTCTGGGCAAGTGCTAATTGCTCCCTGCATGCCTGGGGCTGGGGTGGGGTAATTTCAAAACTCCAGTCAGGCCATAAA